CCAGTCCTTCTTGAAGATTTCCCTCTCCACCGTATGAGCACCAAACAAGATTGTGCACCGATCAAACGAATCGCCTTGTTGAGCTGAACAAGGTTCTCCAAAACAGCATGTAGAGATACTCACTCTACAAGCCAGATTTTACCAATCTCTCACTCTCACAAAACCCTAATCGAAGAGCTTTTCAAGAACATGACAAGAGCAAGAGAGAGAAAAACTAATTCAGTATATCAGCCAAAAACCACGCGTTTTGTATCAGCCTCAGTCACAAAAGGTTAATAAAACCCTTTTATTGTAAAACGTCACCGTTTCATTAATTGATTAGTAACAACAAACAATAGTAACAGAAGCTGATCCAAGTCATGAGATAAAAAGGGCCTCCAACTAATATAATAGAGCATCAGCCCAATAAAATGAATGAGTCAAAAAAAAGCCCAGTACATTTAGAGAAATATATACAACAATATTTGAACAAATTCTAATGAATTTTGTTCTTAAGCTTACTACATATTTAAATAAATTATTATACGTTTATTTTTTTCCTTTCGGATAGGCGCAAAATTTCAAAGACAAAGGGCTTGTTTTAGTTTTATTTTCAAAAATAATTTTTTGATTTTAAGAAGAAGAAAAAAACCTGTTTCATTAGGCTTATTTTATAAAATAGTTATAAAAATTATAATTATTTTTTAGTTTTTAGAGAAAACATATTTGAGTTATTTTTATTTTGTATTTTGACTTTTAACTTTTAAAATAAAAAAAAATATATTAAAATATTTATTTCATAATTTCATTAACAATTTTACAAAACAGTTTTAAGAATTAAAAAATCAGAATAAAATTAAACATACCCAAAATCTTTTGTTTTCAAGGTTTATATATGTGAGAGTAGAAAAGCACTCGGAGGATTACCAAAAAAAAGAAAAGGAAAGCACTCGAGAAAGACTTAACAATCATAGATTGGGTTTACGATTGCAAACGGGTTAATTATAGGCTCAGCAAATGAGAATAACGCTAGATCTATACTTATAATATTTTTTGTGTTTTAATACATATCAATCAGTGTTCAAAGTTTTAACGGATCGGACCAATTTTTTTTTCCAAGAATTACGACTTTTAGAAATTAAACTATTATTATCTGGGCAAGTTAATTCTTGAGCCCTAATTGAATCGCCATTAAACCAACTATAAGAACTTTGGCAGACACCATCCCAAAAGTTAATTTAAAGAGTGAGAGTGTTCAAGGCTAAAGGCCATATTAGTTGCCCACATAATCAATGTGGGACTATATATCTCAACACGCTCCCTCACGCAAGAGCCCTTTGGACTAGAAGCGTGAAATTGCGCAGGCCTAATTTTTGGTTTACTTGTGAAAATCGAACTTGTGACCTTTTAATCACTCAAGCTCTGGTACCATGTAAATAACCTTGAGAGACACCATCCCAAAAGTTAACTCAAAAGATGAGAGTGTCCAAGACTTTATAAATACTACATTAGTTGTTCACGTAATCAATGTGTAACACTCTCGTGAGTAATGAGTTAGACATCGTCTTATATTTGCTTAAATTTTATAATTTAGTTATAATTTGTCCAACGTCATTTTTGTCACACACATACTTTTTCGAATTTACGCATACACTAGGTGTGAGCAGGCGTATATGCAAGAAGCATTATCAATTGAAAATGAATACTAAGCGGAAGGATATTTTACTAATGGCGGTCAAATTAGGGAATGTAGCCTGCTAAGCTAGAAAGTGGAAACCAAAACACATCCAAATTCAGAGGAAAAGCAAAGTTTTTTTTTTTTTTTTTTGTAAATGAAAAGCAAAGTTTTGGGTTTTGATCAAAATAATAATCCCGTTTTCGAATTTGGCGCCAGAGAGAGACTTAACGGTCAAAAAGTGCCGCGAAGGGAGGGGAGACCCAAGAAAATGGCGGGACTTACGAAGAAAATAAGCAAGATGGAAACGACGAGAGAGAAAAGGTAGGCCCCAACAAGTCCCACCTCTGAGTTGTCAACAACGTGGCACCACTCACGCGAGGTTCTCTCATCTTCGTACTTTGCTCTATGGTGACTGCTAAAAGACGCGCTCACGCTGTGGCTACCATTTTCGAATCATTCATGTGGATTTGCCCCCCCAACATCCTCTGTTTCTCTCTCTCCCTCTCTGCTTTTCATTTTTTTTTCAATTTTCAAACAACAGGGCCCATGCAACTTTTTAGCTCCGTATCTTTGAGGATAATAAACGGTTTTCCCGCCACACCTTCAAAACAATCCTCACTCCCTCCTTCACGTGATTGGACGGCCGTTTGTCTCTAGCAAAGCCATCCTTGCGTGCCGGCTAACGGCGTTAAGAGACGGCTACTGCTGGCGCGGGACGTTTGTTTTCATGACGTGCTAGGGTTGCATGTGACATGAGACAGTGAGCCCCATCCTCGTGGGTCCCCCTCCTTGTGCCTCTTGGAGAACAATATTGATGGAAATCACTCTTTTGTCTGACACGTGTTGGAAGATTCACAAAACACCGTTAGAGGAGAGCATGATTTTAAATCTGATACCCTCGAGGTGCCTCCGCGACTGCCTTATTATTTATTAGTCATGCGTGTGTGCGTATATTATTCGCAACCATTACAATTATACATTTTCGATATAGTTATTATAATTAATTATGAAATAACAGTAGCTAATGAATTATAATTAAGCGGCAGACATATTTGGTATCGTTTCTAGAAAAATGATTTAAGAATGGTGTGATTTACACGCATTTTAACCCTTCGTTCGGTTGATATGAAAAAAAAGTAATTGAAATAAGAATTCTAAACAGAAAACTTTTATTTGTTTCTATTTTTTTTTCTTTAACCAAATAAGAAAATGCTTCAAAGTTAAAATATTTTTTCTCTTAAATCTTGCTTTCTGTATGAACATAGGTTAAATGAGGGGTTTGTTAATATAATAATATAATTAAAATTATTTGGTTCTTCAAATAAGGGAAAAACTACTCTTAAGTTGTATAAGAGTAGTTTTATCTCCTATAAACAAATCGAAAATTGTGATATTTTTTGTTGTTGTAAATGACAGATCACATCACATGTGTGTTTATAACATGAAAAATCTTCTCTCATGCAATATGAAATTAGATCAACCCAATAAATAAATATGAGTTTTGCAATGTGAGTAACCTCTTCAAATGTTAGAAGTTTGAGTTTACAGGGTAGACGGAAAAGTCAGGATTAATCTTAAATAAAATAATATAGAGAAACCTAAAAAGATTAAGAATACAAGTTACATGCAAAGTTTATTATTAATTTTTTGTTTTATTTTCTTCTCCTTACTCGATATATAGATGAGAGATCAATCTCTCGAAATATAATCAGGTATCGAAGTCAAGGACTTCTCCTATTTTATATTTTTTTGTTCACATGAATTTAATTTAATTTTACAATTCACATGATAAAGTCTGATCCTAATTTATTGTTATAACATGCATGTTATAAAATATATTTAATTATAAAACAAATATATTCATCATTATTAAAAATAAAATGAAAATGACCTTAAATTTATTTATAAATTATAGTTTACTATTATCTTCAACTCTGCGATATGGTTTTGGTATCATTTATAACAAAAATAGATCACAATGTATATAAAAAAGAAGAAGAAGATTACATTACTACAATAATCTCTGAATAAATGCGTCTCATTAATTCCAATGCAAAGTGTAAACAAATTAAATTGTTTGAAAATTAATTAAAGAAAATGTCGACGGAAATTAATTATATGATTTGGAATCTTTACCGTTACTAACATAATAAAAACATTTTATTACAGAGAAAAAAATACATAAAAACTTCTAGTGTAAATAACATATAACTCTATAAGGATAATCTTGTTAACGGAAACGTTTAACTACTTAATTTAAAAGATATAAAAAACCTCAATCGTTTGGACTAATTAAAAATGCCGTTATGGATGCTGCTAAGGGAATTAATTACAGATGATTAATCATTGATGATGATGAATTGGAATTTGGAACTTGCGAAGGACGAACATGAGGCAAATTATGGATGAAACAAGAATGAGTTAGGGTTATATAGCAATGGCAATGATCAAAGATAGAATACAAAAGGAGAAATACAAGAAAACTGGCCAAAACAAGGGACGGGGGAAAAGCCGATAAGAGCGGTGTTGTCACGTGCGGACGTCATAATTGGCGTCGGCGAATCACACCTTAATTACCAAGATTACTCGATTGTTACCTGGGTCCCAGCATGCCACGTGTGTCGACCCCACTGGCCAATCAATAATCAGCTACACCTCTCTCCATTCTTGCTGTTGCCGCTGCGCTGTTGAGTCCAGAGCACGCAAAACAACATCTGCAGATCCACGTGTCATCCCAGCTGGATCGTTAACTACCCTCATTGGTGTGTCGTCCTGGTTAGTTAACCTGTTGGTGAAGATTTACAGTAAGTGGAACAGTTAAAATAGTAACCCCGGTCAGCTCGGGCAGACTACGGGGCAGGCGGTAGTCACGCCATGTCACACTGCTTCATAAATAAAAAAATAAAATAAGGGTAGGAATCAAGTGTTATAAATATAAATACTTATATATGCGGTGTAAGGAAAGGGCATAGTTAAGATCAAGGCGTGCTTTGTGCTTGGATGAAAGAGTGCTAAGAGAGAGAGAGAGAGAGAGAGAATAGTAACTCTCGCACTCTCAAAAGGAACAGGGAAGGCGAGAGAGTTTGGTAAGGGTGGTTTAATGGCGATTTGATCAAGGGGGGGTAGTGCATTAAAAGCCACCGTTTGGAATTTTTGGCCATTTCTATTTATATTAACGTTTTGGTGAGCCTGAGCCGGAGACTGAGACAACACATCAGAAGCATTTACTCAAACGTCGTTTCGAATCGCTGGTTCTCGTTGTTACTTAAAGCCAGCTAGCTATTCCTCTGGGTTTGAACTGAGGTTTCCTCTTTCTCTCTCTGAGTTTCTCAAGCTAGTAACCTACAAGATGGAGTGCTCAGCCTGTACGGATGAGTACGAGAAACTCGTGATTCGGATGAGCACACCTAGGTCTGTCTATTAACTTCAATCTCTATTCTTTGTCATTATTTCTTTTTCTTTTCTTTTTATTTCTTCCATATCCCTGATTATGTAATTATGGCCTTATGGGTTGTAAATGTGGGAGTGGTGCATAGTTTTCTCTAGAGTTTTGTTTATTTTCTCCAAATCCATTCTATTTTGTTTGTTTATTTATTTGAATATTGCTAATTCCAAGCCTCTTAGTTTGAAATTAATTAGAGAATTGCATCGTGTTTTGAAATCAGTCATGTGTTTTCACATTTACAACTTTCCCTTGTCATGATGAGATTCCTTGGCCACACCGATTTGAGCCGCGTTCTGCGCTATCCAATTTTTCTAATCTTCTGGGTTAGTATTAAAAATCGCGAAAATTTCGAAGGGAGAGAAAAAGTAGATTTTCCTAATTCCCACCTACTTTTCAAATTGATTTCTACCGATATCAGTATTTTAACAATTTTCTGACTTTCTTTCCTTATCGTGTCCAACACTCCATTCTCCCTTTCCATCCAGAATGTTTTTCTTCCCATTGCCTATGCGTACATTCTTTGTTTTTATTCAGCTTAGAAATTCGGGAAAAATAATGTTATTTCACTGACTTTGAACTCTCATTGCTAAACAGGGTTGTGATCGACAATGCCGTTTGCTCCACAGCGACTATAGTCAAGGTAAACCCGCACAAAAATCCTTCACTTTTCCCCACTGATTGTTGGTTTTCAAGCAAAATCAGGAGAAGAAAATACTCAAGTCTCTCTTTGATGAAATTCCCAGGTTGATAGCGCCAGAAAGCATGGGATTCTTTTGGATGCTGTACAAGTGCTCACTGATCTTAACCTTTCAATTAAGAAGGCTTACATTTCCTCTGATGGCAGGTGGTTCATGGATGGTAAGCTAATTTTCCTTTCTATTTCTTTTCAGGAATAATTTTGATTCCGGGTGCGTTAAACTTGTTATTAAATGCGCAGTTTTCCATGTTACGGATCAAAACGGAAACAAGCTAACAGATGAGAGCGTTTTAAGATACATTGAACAGGTACTAGTTGTGGCTTTAGAAGTTAGTAATTTAATTTACAATACGTTACTGGTTAAAATTGATTCTCTCAAGTAGGTATGGCGTTTCTATTGTTATATTAATCACACACTAATTTTTATGTGTACGTTATTTCAGTCACTTGGCAGCATTCACAATGGGAGAACCAATCCCTCAAACGGTCTCACAGTCCTGGAGTTAACTGGCACGGACAGGGTTGGTCTTCTTTCGGAGGTGTTTGCTGTACTGGCAGAACTGCAATGTGATGTGGCTGAGGCTAAGGTTTGGACTCACAATGGACGGATTGCCTCCCTAATCTATGTTAAAGACTGCAATTCTGGGACTCCTATTGAGGACTCTCAGAAAATTAATAGGCTCGAAGCACGTTTAAGAAATGTTTTAAAGGGAGACAATGACATTAGGAGTGCAAAAACTTCTATATCCAATGCTGTCGTGCACCCTGAAAGAAGACTCCACCAAATGATGTTTGCCGACCGTGATTACCAGAGGAATCCCATTTTCAAGTTTACTTCTGATTCCCCATTAGTGACCGTCCAAAATTGGGCAGAAAGGGGTTATTCCGTTGTGAATGTTCAGTGCAAGGATCGAATAAAGCTTTTATTCGATGTTGTTTGCAATTTGACAGACATGGAATATGTTGTGTTCCATGCAACTATTAACACAACAATTGACAAGGCGTACCTGGTAATTATTACATATCAAGTGTGTCGTTTGTTTAGTCTGTAGCTTGGTTTATGAGCTTAATGAACGATAAATAAATTGTCATTTACAGGAGTTTTATATAAGACATAAGGATGGCACCCCAATTAGTTCAGAAGCAGAGCGTCAACGTGTGATTCAATGCTTGCAGGCTGCAGTGAAAAGAAGGGCATTTGAGGTATAGTGTCCTTGGTCTCACTTTTGTTTATTAAATTGTTATGACCTTTTGATAATTAATAATTGCTAATTCTTTGAATACAGGGTGTTATGCTAGAGTTATGCACGGAAGACAGGCAGGGGCTTCTTGCAGAGGTGATGAGAACATTCCGAGAGAATGGGCTGAATGTAACGAGGGCTGAGATATCCACCACTGGGGACATGGCCGCAAATGTGTTCTATGTAACGGATGCAATTGGATACCCAGCTGACCCAAAAATTATTGAATCTGTCAGGCAAAAAATTGGGTTAAGCAATTTAAAAGTCAAGGAGTTGCCATTCGTTTGTAATCAGAAGGCTGAGAGGGAAGATCAGTCACTTGGAGTAGGTGGGGCAGTGTTGTTGTCTCTGGGGAGCCTCTTGAGAAGGAATCTATACAATTTGGGTTTAATCAAATCTTGTTCTTAAAGCAGAAAGGGTGTGGAGAGAGGGAATTTAGGGGTGTGGAAGATATGTACAACTTTAATAGCATAATATTCTTTGCTTCATGTTTGGGCTTTGTGTACATAAAAAGTAAAGGTGGAATTTGGTGATAGTAGTTGTTATTAGTTGGTTGGGTTGGATTTGGTAGGTGAAAACTAATAGGTATATATACAGCTGGAGGGATGGGGGCCCCCTCCGACATTTAAAATGCTTTGCGTGAAGAAGGGAAGGTTCTGCATTAGGAGAGATTGGGCCCTTGTAGGGAGATTGTGAAATGTGAAATATAGGGATTCTTTGGTGGCACAAAGAAATTTAGGTAGACGATGAAACAAATTGGGTTCATACAGCACTGTGTACATAGCGATATTTCAATTATTATTATTATTTAGTGGTTGACTCTATTCTTTAACTTTCGTTTCACTAACTGTCGATCTGCACGCTCTTAAAGAATGTGTGCTTTATTGGTGGCTCCACTTAGTGCAACTACCGGATTTTATTGGATCCAGTTTGGCCCCACGGAAAGAGCTGAAAATTGTAGGTGTAGTGCAAATATTTTATCGTTGTATTCAGTGGGTACTATTTTCATTTACCAGATGAGCTTAACTATTTGATAATATAAAATATGAAGTAACTATGTTTATTTTAAGAAAAACCCCTTTTTAGCACTGCTGCAAACCGGAAGAACATTACAAGGTATATTAATTTGTTGTCGAAGCCGCGCTATGCTATGAATTAAAATTTAATAGGGAATTGTCAGAGTAACATTTTCAACTTGATATGATTTTGGCTCGAGAAGAGGTTGAAGTGTTTCTTTAAATCCCAAGATATGCTATTTAGAGTTTTTACATAGCTCAGAAGGCTCCACTCATGTATAAAAAGGGGAGAATATTTAAATAATGGAGAGGGTGGTGTTCATAACTTTCCTTTTGTTTCTTAATCTTGCTGTTCGAGGACGCTACATAAGATTATTTTGTTCTTTCAACCCTTGAAAGGAACTTGGTCTGATATTTGTAAGCTCGGGATAAAATAGTTTGCTACGGGTATTATTAGTATTGTGTTGGTTTATTTTATTAGCATTTCCCACTTGTGATACTTACTTTCTGTTGAAATTACAGTGGAGATATTTCTGGTTTTCTTTAAACAGAAAGGAGAAGTAAGGAGAGAAAATCACACGCAGGATTTTTACTTGTTCAGAAACTTGTGTTACCAAGTTTCCTACGTCAAGGATCAATTTAGGGAGACCACTCCCTGACACTTGCACTAATTAAAACAATAAAGAAAATACAATATTCAGTTTTCGGTAAAAATAACCAAAACCCCAAAGAAACCCTAAAGCCCCAAATTGCATTCAACAGATCAATAAACCTAAAACAGCAAGGCTTTACAAGATGCAATAGAATACAAGATTAGAGAACAGCAACCAGCAACCACACACATAGACTCAGTTATGATACCAGAATCCCACGTGAAGCAGAAGCCCTTCTCCACACTTCTTGATGTCTTCAAGAAGCCACCGTCGAGTAGCACCTTGGTCTTCAACCACCACCAAGCTCCGGTGATGAACCTGCAAACACAGGAGAGAACAACAACCAAGAAAAACTCGATGCAATCTGGTTAGTAGATCAGATTTGGTTTTTGAGCAAAACCCTAGCAGAGCAAAAACAAGGAGAACTTTGATACTGAATATCGCGTAAGAGAAAGAGTGCAGTAGTGATGCACCGAATGTGTTTCACCACACATATATCAATCAGCAAAGTTAGTATACCACATGTATACAAAGCAGCGTTTCAATAAAAGGCATGATGTTACCAAAATGACCTTTTATCAATACAGTAATATAAAACTTGGCAGGGCTACATATGGAAATACAGTTTTAACAAACTCCACCTTATTTTCATAAGGTAGCATGCAAGCACCAGTAAGTGGAGATAGCCTCCTTGATCATATATTCTCAACAAGATTGACCCAGAACCTTCAACAAGCTTAAGGCATCCTTAAACTTGTTTGCAGGAACGGACTTGGTGAAAATGTCAGCAGGGTTCCATGAAGTAGAGACCTTCTCCACCTCCACCTGCTCATTAGAGATAATATCTCTAATAAAGTGCAACCTAACATCTATGTGTTTGGTCCTTTCATGAAAGGCACCATTTTTGGATAAGTGAATAGCACTTTGTGAGTCACAAAAAACCTTGGGAACTTTCTTACCAAGTCCCAATTCTGATACAATACCTTTAAGCCATAAGGCTTCTTTGATTGCCTCAGTCAGTGCAATGTATTCTGATTCAGTTGTTGAGAGGGCCACCACATGCTGGAGATTTGATTTCCAGCTAACCACATTCCCTCCAACAGTGAAGACATAGCCAGTCACTGATCTTCTCTTATCCAGATCAGCTGCATAGTCTGCATCACAGTATCCTCTTACACCAAACAGGTCAGAATCATCAGCAGTAAAATTTAAACAGTTATCACAAGATCCATTTAAGTATCTCAAAATCCATTTTACTGCATTCCAATGTTCTCTATTTGGTTTAGACATAAATCTGCTCACCACACTCACTCCATGAGCAATATCAGGCCTAGTGCCTATCATAGCATACATTAGACTTCCTATAGCATTTGAATAAGGCACCTTTTGCATGTAAACAGATTCAGTTTCATCCAATTCACCACATACAGGTTTCAAACGAAAATGAGCAGCTAAAGGAGTGTTCACAGGCTTGGACAAATGCATAGCAAACAACTTTAAAATCTTTTTCACATAGTGTGATTGAGACAAAGACAACACTCTTGCATCTCTATTTCTAAAAATATCCATGCCTAAAATTCTTCTAGCAGGGCCTAAGATTTTCATATCAAATTCCCTTTTCAACATTTCCTTTAGCTTATTAATATTATCTATGTTATGAGAAACAATGAGCATATCATCAACATAGATAAGCAAGTAAACATAGTTATCATCATCAACATTCAAGTAATAAACACAATGATCATAACTACACCTATTGAAACCTTGTGATATCACAAAGTCATCAAATCTCTTGTACCATTGCCTAGGTGATTGTTTCAGGCCATACAAGGATTTCCTAAGAAGGCAGACTTTGTCTTTGGAGCCTTTCTTTATGAACCCATCAGGCTGCTCCATAAAAATTTGCTCCTCTAAATTACCATGCAAAAAGGCAGTTTTAACATCTAGTTGTTCTAATTCTAAATTAAAAATAGCAACAGCTGATAAAAGAAGTCTAATAGAAGTGTGTTTAACTACAGGAGAGAAAATTTCATTATAATCTACTCCCTCTACTTGGGCATAGCCTTTGGCTACCACCCTAGCTTTATACCTTGATACTTCTACACCAGGGATAGCAGGTTTTCTTTTAAAAACCCACTTACATCCAATTACCCGTTTATGTTGAGGTCTATCCACTAAGAGCCACGTCTGGTTCTTCATCAGTGAATCCATTTCATCCTCCATTGCTGCATGCCACTCCTTCCAAGTACTTGTCTTCATTGCCTCCATGTAGGATGTTGGTTCCTCTTGTTCCATCAATTCACCAACCTGCAAAGCAAAAGCAATGATATCAGCATGTGCAAATCTGCTAGGAGGTCTTATTTGCCTCCTAGCTCTATCCCTGGACAACAAATAATCAGTAGGAACTTGTCCTTGCTGGTTATTTTCAGTCTCTAGTTCCCTAGGGACATCAGAAGTATTTTCTTGTTCATTTTCAGAAGAATCCTCATGATCCTCTCCTGGATCAAAGACATTAGCATTCTGCCTTGTATGGGCAGATTGCTCCACCTCCAGCTGGACCTTATTGGGGTGGTTATTTTGCTCCTTAACCTGCAAAATATCTTTGTAGAAAGTCAGCTTATCAAAAGTGACATCCCTACTAATTATACATTTCTTTTCACTAATCAACCACAACTTGAAACCCTTTGTGCCTTTAGGGTAACCAATGAAAACAGCTTTTAATGCCCTTGGCCCAAGCTTATCTTGCTTAAAATGTACATAGGCCAAGCACCCAAAAGTTTTCAAGTAGTTCAGATTAGGAATTCTATTATTCCAAAGTTCCATGGGAGTTTTAAAGGCTAAAACAGATGAGGGAGATCTGTTTATCACATGGCATGCTGTTGAAACAGCCTCAGCCCAAAATTTTTTACCCAAGCCAGATTCAGATAACATGCATCTAACTTTATTTAAGATTGTTCTATTCATCCTCTCAGCTATACCATTTTGTTGAGGTGTTTCAACACATGTTCTATGTCTAGCAATACCATGTTCCTTACAATAATCAGAAAATTGACTATTGCAAAATTCAACACCATTATCAGTCCTAAGTACCTTAACCTTCATGCCTTTCTCAGTTTCAACAGCAACCTTCCATTCCTTAAAGCAATCAAAAGCCTGATCCTTTTGCTTTAGGAAGTAGGTCCACACCCTCCTTGAATAGGAGTCTATAAGGGAGAGGAAGTAGTGGCAACCCGAAAGGGAACTAGGAATATTGGGAGAGCCCCAAAGGTCAGAGTGAATGTAATCAAGGGTCCCTTTTGTTTGATTCTTGGCTGCTGTGAAGCTTTGCCTATGGGACTTCCCTAGGATGCAGCTCTCACAGAAGTCAAGAGGGGAAAAATTCTTTAAAGGAAGGATCCCTTGTTTACATAGCTCTTGCAACCCTTGGTTGCTAATATGCCCCAATCTTTTATGCCAAAGAAGGGGCAGATCAGAACTCTTCAAGGCCACACAGGACTCCAGTCCTATGGCCTCACCATCTAAAATGTACAACCCATTCACTAGCTTACCCACCATACCAACCCTAGACCCCTTAACAACCTTTAGAGTTCCTTTCTCACTCTTAAAGTTGTAACCATTCAAGTCTAACATCCCCAAGGATATTAGATTTCTTCTTAGGGTGGGGACAAGTCTCACATCCCTTAAGAATTTGACAGTCCCATCACTCATCTTGAAACTGACTGACCCAATACCTGTTACTTGACAAGTATCATTATTTCCCATTAAGACTTTACCTCCCTCAAATGGTTTAAAACCACTTAACCACTCTCTCTTGGGTGTCATGTGAAATGTACACCCAGAATCCAACACCCACTCCAAACCAGTGGAGTTATCAGACAAGACCAGCAGCTCACCACTCTCATAACCAGTCAACAGATTTGCATAATCTGTCTTGTGATTATTAGAAGGGGCAGCTTGTTGCTTTCCCTTCTCTGGGCAGTTCTTTTTCATGTGCCCTTCCTTGTGGCATAACCAGCAGATTAACTTC